TTATTATTATTATTATTATTAATTTTTATTATTTATTATTTAATTTTTATTATTATTAATTATTCTATATTATATTTAATATCTATAATAAAATTATATTTTTTTTAATATTACATAGCTAGCCATTTTCAGTTGGAGCTTGAAATCGTACTGATCAATTGCATTCCGTTTTATAATCTTGAAACAGTTAGAAAGCGTACGAAACTAAAACGGAACGATAGCCGCAGTACATTTCCATTATCATCGTCATAGCATGAATTCTCAGAATGAATAAAGGAACCCACTTATAGAGAGTAGTGCACTACGAAAGTACTGTCTTGAATTCTATGATATCATTGATTTTGACGTACTTCCTATTGCGGCTACTGCAACCAATGAGGTAAAGCAGTCAAAGCACAAAGATGGCTGCTTCTCTGAAATAACCTTGATTGATGCTGAAGAAAATAAAGCGTATAATATGAAATAATATAATATAATGAAATTATTATATAATATTATGAAATTATTTATTATTATTATTAATTATTATTATTATTATTTATTATTTATCATTTATTATTTATTTTTTATTATTATTTTTTATATATATTATATTTAATATATACAATAAAATATTTTTTTTAATATTAGATATGCCAGTTATTATTTCAATTGGAGCTTCAGAAAACATATTACAACTGCATTCCACTTTATAATCTTGAATCAGTTAAAAAGCGCACGAAATTAAAACGGAACGATAGCCGCAGTACATTTCCATTACGTCATAACATGAGTACTCGGAGTGAATAAAGAAACGTACCCCTTGTTTCCTTACATCATGATGAGGAGCATAAATGATCTAATTTTCATCGAAGTCTTCAATTCGATTCTACTTTGGTATGGATTAAATTTAATATGCTGTTTCAGAAGTACAGATTGGGTGCATCCAGAAGCGCAACTGCTCACTGAGCGGTTAGATAGCGGTTATTCGAAAGCGCTCAAAAAGCGATCTTTCACGCAAGGATATAGGCTTATTTGATATTTGTATAAAGATTAAAGAACAAGCTTATTTATTTTTATTCTTATTTTTTTCG